CTGCATTTTAAAGGAACTTTAGTTTCTCAGTGTTTTATTATTTCTCTTTAGAAGATAACAAGGGAAGCTGAATAGTTAAGTGCTATCATCTAACCGTTGCTGTTAATTCTTTGAGCTGATCTATAACCTATAGTGCACAGTATTGCATACAACTGAGTTGTTTTGGGTTTTTAATTTTCCTTGTTTACTGCTATCACTTGCTAGAACCTTCCAGCAACCCATCACTATTTATTGACTATACAGCTTCCTAGTTCACAGAGCCAGTATAATGGCTACTTCAAAGCACACAACAGCAATTTATACACAGCAGATGTGGTAGCTTACAGTATCTAATAATGCTATTTCTGGAACATTATGTGTAAAGGCACATTAAATGGAGACTATATTTTTGATGAGCTCTTGAGATTTGAAGTAGGTAAGTAATTTCTGCCCCTGGAGTTTTCCTTGTGTTTTTATTAGTAGTTTACAAATACAACTATTTAATCCTTGCCACAGATAGAAAGAAATTCAATGTGCAAACTACTGGGCTACGTCTACACTGGCACCCTTTTCCGGAAATGCTTAAAACGAAACAGTTTTCCATTATAAGTATTTCTGGAAAAGCGCGTCTACATGGGCAGGATGCTTTTCCGGAAAAGCACTTTTTCCAGAAAAGCATCCGTGCCAATGTAGACGCGCTTTTCCACAAAAAAGCCCCGATCGTCATTTTCGCGATCCGAAATTTTTGCGAAAAAGAAATCTGTGCTGTCTACACTGGCCCTTTTCCGAAACTTTTGCCCAAACGGGAGCAGCATAGTTTTTCCGGAAAAACAATGACGATTTTACATTAGATCATCATTGCTTTTCTGGAAAAGCAAGCGACCAGTGTAGACAGCTCACAGCTTATTCTGGAAAGCGGCTGCTTTTCCAGAATATCCGAAATTTTTGCGAAAAAGAAATCTGTGCTGTCTACACTGGCCCTTTTCCGAAACTTTTGCCCAAACGGGAGCAGCATAGTTTTTCCGGAAAAACAATGACGATTTTACATTAGATCATCATTGCTTTTCTGGAAAAGCAAGCGACCAGTGTAGACAGCTCACAGCTTATTCTGGAAAGCGGCTGCTTTTCCAGAATAAGTGGCCCAGTGTAGACACAGCCCTGCTGTAATAGCTGGGCCAAGGGACTGATGTCATAGAAAAAAGATACTTGAAAATATCACTCACTCTAAAGGTAGTCAGATAGTAAATGAGTTTGTGGTAGGGCAGTGGAAATAGTTACCCCCAAGAAGGAGCTAGGGCAGGGTTGGACAATAATTTTTTATTGGAGTTGGTAAGTGATCAAGGGCCACTCTTTTCTATGGAGAGGATGCTGGGTCTGGGATGGAAGTTGGGTACAGACAGGAGTTCAGGGTAGGTACTGGGGTGCAGGAGAGGTTATGGGGGGGTCTGAGAGGGAGACAGCAGTGGGGAGGTGTGACAGATTCACACTGTCATACTGCATCTCATATACTTTACAGTGATATTATAATGATAATGTATTTTATCTAAGATAAATAATATGAAGTGTCATTGGAGAGGTTATGATTACCCTCTTGTTACATATATGTATAATTTTTGTAGCTGATGTTAAGAATATTTATTAATGTCTGTATGTCAGATGTAGTTGGTACTTAGGGAACACCCACTAGACAAGATTCTTTCAGCCTAGATAGTGGGCAGACATATGATGAAACAACATTACTCTTGCCCTCATATTGGGATGTATTTTTTCCACAGACCAGTATGGGAACCTACATGAAGTCCTGCTATATGTACAATATATATGGAGGGGAGTGAAATCATCTGGAATTCTTCACTGACTCCCCACCCAAGAAAACTCCTAGAAACACCCATGAAACAAAGACTAAAATGGGAGAGATGCTAGACCCATGCTATGGGGATTTTCAGCCTGTGAATGGAACACCGAGCAATTCAAAGCTGTATCCAAGTACAGCTTGCCCCTTAGTAATAGCAATGTAGCCGTGTTAGTGTGGTGTAGCTGAAGCAAAATGCAGGACTATGTAGCACTTTAAAGACTAACAAGATGGTTTATTAGATTATGAGCTTTTGTGGGCCAGACCCACTTCCTCAGATCAAATAATGGAAGAAAATAGTCACAACCATATATACCAAAGGATACAATTAAAAAAAATGAACACATATGAAAAGGACTAATCACATTTCAGAACAGAAGGGGGATGTGGGGGAGGGGGGGAAGGAAGGTAAGTGTCTGTGAGTTAATGATATTAGAGGTGGGGAAAGGTAGATGTCTGTGAGCTAATGGTATTAGAGGTGATAATTGGGGACGCTATCTTGGTAATGGGTAAGGTAGTTGGGGTCTTTGTTCAATCCCCCCCAGAGAGTGTCGAATTTTAACATGAATGACAGTTCAGAGGATTCCCTTTTAAGTGCAGATGTAAAAGGTCTTTGTAGCAGAATGCAGGTGGTTAAGTCATTGAGACAGTGTCCTTTCTGGCTGAAATGGCAAGAAATTGTTTTTTTCTTTGTGATCCTGTCTGATATCTGTTTTGTGGGCATTAATCCTTTGGCAAAGTGTCTGAGACATTTGTCCAATGTACATAGCAGACGGACACTTTTGGCACATGATAGCATAAATTATATTTCTGGATGCGTAGGAATGTGTGTTCTTGATCTTAAACTCACTTGGTTAGGTCCAATAATGGTATCAGCAGAATGAATATGTGGACAAAGCTGGCAACGGGGTTTGTTGCAAGAGAAGGTACCAGGGTTGGTATTAGTGTGGTATGTCCTGTGGTTGTTAGTAAGAATCATCTTGAGCTTGCCCCTTAGAATCTTCTGTTCATATGCTACTGTAACAATATGGCTTTTCTGTAGCCATGTTGGAAGGCCTGTGCTAAGCCTGAACCAAAGCCGCCTTCTGTAGCCAGATTGAAGAATTACATACTCACATTCCATCTATTTTGTATTAAAAAGTGTCACACCAAGCTATGAGGAAGGGACGTTGCCCTGATAGCTCCTCCACTGTCACCAGCCAAAGGAACAAATCTCAGGATGGGTAAAGAAAACTTAAATAACACCATTCTGTCTGGCAAGAAACTACTGCTTATCAATAGAGAATGTTGTGGAATTCTCATTCTATGATCATTGTCATTACACTTTCCTATTGTTTGTGTGTGATCTCTATCTGATTTGTAACTGTTTGTCAGTTGTATAATTAATTTTGCTAGGTGTAAATAAATTAAGGTGATGGGGTATGATTGGTTAGGTAATTGTGCTGATTGATTAGTAAAATTATTGGTTACGGTATAGCTAAGCAAGACTCAGGTTTCATTATATAAACTGGGATCCAAGAAGGAGATCAAGAAGAACTACTCACATCCAAGACCCCACTTAAGATAAGAGCTCCCAGGACTCTTCCGCACAACCGAGATGTGCAGCAGCTAAAATCCAGAGAGACTGACCTTGCCTGGCCAACAGGGGAAGTCTGCCTGCCTTTATCAGGATTGGTGAGCATGACACTGTGGGCTTAGCATGTGTATTCTGCTTGTTTGGGAATTGTCAATAAATAGAGGATAAGGATATTACTGTGTGAGGCTCTTTCAGTGGCTAAAGATCCTGCAAAATCCACAGGAAAATGGACCCTGAACCTTAAGAATTGGGTAAGGGTGGGTGTGTAAATTAACAAGGTTGCACCTTGAGCCCTAGGAACTGGGCAAAGGTGTGTGTCCCTACATTGTAGAAGGGTTAGAGAAATTTGTGCAGGTAAGACTACAAGCAGGCTACAAATTCTTCACCCTATTTAGTGTATTGTTTACAGTGTACTTTCATTATTGCAATTGCTTTGATCTATTTGTTATCCTTTAAAAACCTATATTTTGTAGTTAAACTTATTTGCTAATCAAATCAGTATGGGGGAATCATAAGTCAGGGGCCAAAGGCTATTGCATATTCCTTTCTACATAGAGGGAGAAGGGTACACTTTATGATCTTATGCTGTTCAGCTCCCTCTGTAGCACAAGCTGGTATAATTTAAGTTTACATTTCAGAGGAGGTGAGAGCATGAGTTGGGCGTAACTATCCCATGGAGAGGATGATCACTAATGCTGCTTGTAACTGCAGCTGGGTACATTCCTACTTGTGTGTTTCTGGTGAAAGTACATGCTGGGAAGCTCTGTACTTTGCCACAACAAACCAGCATGAAAGGGAGTCCCTGATGGTGAGGCAGCAGACTCCCTAGTATCCATCACAGATGCTTTTTAACCAAAGCAAATGTAGGGCGGTGGTAGGAGCAAAGGAAAGGTGTGAGTAGGAATACTAGAATTATAGTAAGGAAGGGAGAACTAAAGACACCAGGAAAAACTTTTGGCATAGATCAATTAAGATTATAGGACAGTCACCCTTTGTTACAGTGAAGATTCACTGAGCTCTGGCAATTTAAGAGACACTAGAAAAAAATTGTCAGAGGAACAGAAAGGAGCAAGTGTTATGCTGACTGGTGAGTTCTATGACTTTATATTTCAAACAACAGAGTTCTGATACTGATTTTTATTTCCTCATATTCCTTTATCGCGCTGAGTCATTCTATTAGAAAGTTCTGTATGTAGCAGAAATAGAGAGCAAAATATATAGCTATTGAGTGCACTGATGCAGATGTAATTTCCTGTTCTCAATGAACAGGCAATGGTGGAGGTCCCTGAACACCAACATGCAGACTGAAGAATTTAAGTGGATTTTTCCATAGCTTCTAAAAAGGTGGGGGCTCCAGTTTTTCCATTAAGGATTTGATCCAGCTTGTGCCATTGATTAGTTTAGTGGTGGCAATGATATACTCTGTGCCACCATCTTCCATCTGAGAAAGAAACCTCAGTGCAGCAATTTCAGCATACGTCACGCCTCCCAGAAAGAACACCAAGGTTAGTCTGTTTTCTCCCTGTTGACCTAAAACATTTAGAGAGAGAGTTACAAACTGGTACAGAAACAATTTTATTCTGAAATCAATCTAGGGCCAAAACTCAAGCATGTATTTAGTCAAATTATAAAAAGGATGGGAAGCCTCTGCCAGTGACCTTGAGCAAGTCACTGCCTCCAGGCCTTAGAATTTTTACAAAGGAGATATCCCCATTTTACAGTAGGAAAACTATGAGATTTACTGATAATTCCTAGCTCTTCTGTAGCATTATATCTATACCATAAGGCAATGATCAAATTAGGTTAATTGTACTGAAGTTATGAAGATAATATATCTAGAATTATTAATCAAATGAACTGAAGAGGTATGCTGTTAGTCACACCAAGCTCTATAAATGAATTTAAGAAAAGAAGAGTCCCAGACTAATTAAGTTATTCCAAAGACGCTTACGCTTTTTTTGAAGACCAGTAGGTATCTGCTGCCTTTCTTCAAAGTGGGGTCCTGGGAGCATCTTTAAAACTTCCTCTATGCTACGCCACCCTGGGCGAGCAAGCAGCTGTGCCAGACGCACACTTAATGGAGCATAGCCACTGTACACATACGAAATATCATTTGGATTCTATATAAGGAGAGGGAAATGAGCAGCAGTGGAGTATTCTACTGAAAAGTGAAACTTCAGCATATTTAAATTATGCAATGTTCAAGCTATCCTCTGCCCCAAGTCTGTGCCCTATCAATAGACAGGCCAGTAGGAGGATGAAGTATTCAGTTTACCTGTTCATTGACATCATCCATCCACAAGCGCAGGGTTTTCCTGATTGTTGGGTAGTTGTTTCTACTGCTTGTCTGAAGTTTTAAGAGTCCAGCCTTTTCCAAATTGTTTAATGTCAATATATGTTCATAGCCATAAGTCTATAACATGAAGATTTTGCCTTTAATGTAGTACACCGTCATATTTATGCATCAAGAGCAAGTACACAGAAAAGAAAAAGATTTTCAACATGAACAGAATAACTTGCTGAAGTCACAATCAAGGTTAGCAAGAAGGCAAATATTTTAAATCTATATTTTAAACAAACAATTTTAAAATATTTTCATTTAAACATTAATTTTAAAGACAGCTTTTACTTCATTAAGAAAACTCATAAGAGAATAAATGTGTAGAGTTAAAATGCACATTTACAAATGTCTTTCTGAAGTATGCAAAAGAGTATGACAGTGAGCCAAAATAATAAAAAGTATATGCAAACCTTAAATATATTTCACATTTTGTTAAAATAAAAAAAAATTAAAAAACCAGTATTATAATGTAAATATAGCCTGACCTGGAGAATCTCTCTTTTATAATGGTCCAGCACCTTCTGCTTGAGTCCACTGTTACACACGGATTGTAGGCAAACCAGCCTTAATATCTTGATCAGTGGATGTTTTTGAGCAATGCAATCTTCAGTGTAATTGTTGATCTATAAAGAAACAGACATCCCAGCTGTCAACCAAAATATAGTTTAGGATTTTAATATTAGCAGAAAAGAAAAGCTCTGCTTTTGCTTTTCCATTATAGGCAAAAACAATGTTTCAGAAAATGCTTTTACCTCCTTGTCCATCACTATGGGAAGAGTAAGCAGCTTCAGTATTTTTGAAATAGCACTGTGGCATTGGGGATTCCAATTAACACTCTGCCAATTGGAGTGACTCAACAATTGAAATGGAGGATCATATTTGTTACTCTGGAAGAGGTTTACAAACACTCGCCCTTGATTTTTCTCTCACCTCCATATTATAATAGCATCATACAAGTCAAAGCACTGAAACTCAGTCAGTTGCCTGTCTTGCAAAACATGCAAGAAACCAGAGTAATGTAATGGTGACTCAAGTCTCCCCATGTTGGATAGAAAATGCAGTACAGCAACTCTATTGCCCCTTAATGATAGAAGGCAGACAGGAGGCTATGGACCATGTTTAATTAAAGTGAACAAAGCTGTGGCTTTATGTTTGGCAACAAACCATACTGTGGAGGGAGGAGGAGATAGGCTCCCAGGAGTTGTAAGAACTTCCTCTTACTCAGCTCCCATAAGGGATATTTTCCTCCTAATCCTTTCCCAAACCAATTTATCTGAGTAGTGTACCCTTTCCATAGCAAATCCCTGCAATGGACATTGGCTACAAGTTTTATATACAAGTTGTAATATGGCAACCTTCTATTTCACCCCGTCACATACTCAGCTAAGCGGAGTAGAAGGTGACAAAATCCACCCTGCTTTGGTCAATCCAGCCCTGAGAGAAAAATTCTTTCCCAGCCCTCCAAGGAAAAGATGCATCTAGAATATCAGCCTGTGTGTACAAGGCAAACATGGTCTTATTCAAAATATCAAGTGTAGGTGGGTGAGAACATCCACCCAGATCTTCATTAAGAGGCCCTATTAATGGCTCTGTGGGATAAAAATACTTCTTCCAGACAGCAGGAAAAGCAGCGCAGTAATCTTGTCCTGACTGCAACTGGATCCTGCCCTTCCTATCTATCTCTGAAAGCTTTCCCTTTTTTCAGTCCTTTTGCAAAGGAGCCCATAGAGGGGCAAAGCCCTTTTTTCTTGCAGATTCAGACATTCAAATAAAAAAAAGCTTTCTAAAGTGAAATGCTGCACAAGGAACATACTGAAAGTTTTCCATACCAGCATCAAACCAGTCACCAACTGTCTAGGCTTCTCTTTATTACTCTCCCCCACACACATCCCTCCCATCTTTTTTAGGAGTATTTTAGACTACTTATAACAAGATAAAAATCACAAACAAGCAAGATACCTATTCTCCACTCACCTTGTCAGTGTCTATTCCTGACATGAACTCTTGTTCTACTGTTAAATTATCAAAGAAATCTTCTGACGCTAAAAAAAAATGCAATAATTTAGTGAGTCAGTACTTAAGAGTTAGTTTATTCACGTTAAATGGTTTCAGCAGTTGCCCAGATGTAAATAAGGCCAGTATTTTGCTCCTGGTATCAGAATTTATGATGAAATCAGCAAAGTTACATCTTTGGCTGCAAGCCATATCATAAGATCAACTGTACGTGGAACATTGAAAAGGATACTTACTAGTAATATCTTTGATTAGCTCTGCAATCGAGGTATGGTTTGCTAGAGAACTTCTAGCTGCTTGCATATGTGGCAGTTGAGAAACAAATTGCTTGATCTCCCCAACAGTTTTAGCATGGTGCCTTTCCTAAAAACCCAGCAATTACAATAATCAACATCTGTTAAATCATTTCATTAAAAGGTGTATTTTTAGTTGTATACTCTGTTCATTGCTTTAAGTAGTGAGCTTCATTATACCATCCTGTCATTTTGCAACACAGATCAGATACCTTCAGTAACTTCTGATCTTTTAGACAGAGCAATTTCAAAAAACATGTTTCCAAGAACAGCACTGTTGCTTTATTAGTTAATAAAGCTGAGGTGTTACTGCACCATGAGAAAACCAAACTTGGCATGATCTCTTATTTTAGCGGACAGGCTGCTAATCATGTTTCTTGATGCCATTACATTAAAATAGCCCAACATCTTGTACTCCTATTGATATTCTTGCATAGAAGGCACAAAGTGCTTAATGAACATTTGTGAAGTAAGCATCATATGTCCACTGAGGTTGAGAAGTATTACAATCCCTATTTCACAGACAGGGAGACTGAGACCCACAGAAATGAAGTTTTATCTCCTTCGGTAGACAAGAGGAATGGCTGCTGATCCTCCATACAAATACATCTGGTATGATGAGATACTTAAGATCTTGACTCACTGGAGTTGTGATGCAGTCACTCTGACCTATTTAAAGAGCATAAACACTACAGATGCGCCATTAAATTCCTAGGATAAGGTAACATGCAGTAGATGTAAAGCAAAGAGGCAAAGGAGGAGCTCACAATTCCTCAAATGAAAGCTGTCAGAGAAGTATGAAGTGTTAGGTGCACCCTGAGGAAGGGGAATGGAGACAGCATTTTCCCACTCACCAAAACTCAAGCGTTGCCTATTTTGAAATAACTTTTAAAGCAGGGATGTTAAATTTAGTTTAATCAACTAGTTGATGGAATTTCCATTGACTATTTGATTAGTCGATATGCTGGGGAGCCACAGCAGGGTTAGCTAACTGGGAGCTAACCCCGCTGAAGCTCTGCCTTTCAAATGTATTCAGAGCTGGCAGGCTTTTGATACGTTTAAAAGGCTGAAGCACAGCATGGAGAACCCAGTGTGAGCTGGGACAGCTGAGTCCCAGCTCGCGCTGCGTCCCCACTGCTTATCCCTGGCTTGCGCCCAGTCCCCCTAACCCTCTGCCTCCCCTGCCCCTGGCAGAGATGGTGCTGGGGGAACCAGCTTTTGAGATGGCTCCCCCCAGCAACAGCTCCTGCTCCCCCTCTTGCTGCCTCTAATAGAGAAAGCAAAAGAGGTGGGGAAGAAGTGACTAGTCGACTATCTGATAAGTATAAGTTGCTTATATCCCTATTTTAAAGTTAGTACCAATCTGTAAAAGTCTTCCCCAAGAAATCTAGAGCAGTGGCTCTCAACCTTTGTAGGCTGTTTTACTCCTTTCAGGAGTCTGATATGCCTTGTATAGTTTGAAGTTTCACTTCACTTAAAAATGGCTTGCTTACAAAATCCAACATAAAAATACAAAAAAAGTGTCACGACAGTATTCCTGACAAACTGCTTAATGTCTCATTTTACCATACAATTCTAAATAAATCCATTGGAATATAAATATTGTACCTATATTTCAGTGTATGATATATAGAGAAGTTTAAACAACTCATTGTTTGAAATTTTAGTTTGTACGGACTGTTAATATTTATGGACTCTGTTGTAAAACTCGGCAAATACCTAGATGAACTGATGTACCCCTCAGAAGTCCACTGTGTACCCTCTTTTTGAGAACCACTGATCTAGAAAACCTTGTCTGATGAAGCATAGACATATGTGAATTCTTAGAACAATCCAGGCATTGGGGTTTCACCAAGTCAAAAATAAAAAAAGTTATGTTTCTGAAAAAATTATCTTGACCAAAATTTAAACTATATAAATGGGCAAGTACAGGCAGGAGAGAGATAATGGAGACTGCAATTTACAAGCCAGTTGCTGCAAGAGTACTGCCATTTCATTATCACCTATTACATCTGACAATCTCTCACATCTCTTCCCTCCCTTCCAGTGTGAAGTATTTTAAACTTCGGAAGCTTTCAACACTAATATCCCAGTTAATGTCTATTATTGCAAGTCAAGTCTGAATGCACAATTTAGATTGGTATAGGGTACATCTAACTGGCCTTAAAAATGGCAGGAATGACTATAAACAGCCTGAAGGTACACAAAAGTATTAACACACAGTTAGGACAGCAGGTTACAGGTATGTACTTACTGACTTGTGTTTTAGTTTTCCTGTGCTCATTTTTAAGGGGGGGGGGAGAAAGAGAAGAGTGTTCAATATACTGCTGATGTGCAACAGCTAACAGGTCAACTGGAGTCTCACTGTTAGTAAACTACACACCTGTAATTTTAGGGATGTTACTGGGTAATGTTTAACTGGTACCCAGAGAACAGCCTCCTGCCTGTGTCCCACTGCAGAGGGCTGCTCCAGCCCCAGTGGGTGTCTACACGAGGCTGCTGGTTCCTACTCCACATAGGCTGGGAGCTGACAGCTGTGCACAAGACTAGAAGCAGCCAGGTGGAGCATGTCTGCCCATGATGGGGGAGCCACTCCAGGCCAACCTCCCCACCTACCCCTGTTTAATCAGTTAACCAGTTAAATATTAAGTTTACCATAAAATCGAGTATAATTACCACTTTTTCCTGGTTATTTATCATCAAAGTCAGGGTGTGCATTATACATAGGAGCTATATTTCAAAGTTTTATTTTGGCAGAAGCTGACAAACTTGTAAGTAGCCTCGGGCCGGGGAACTCCCCCTCCCCTCCACACAAACTTTCCCGCTGCAGCATGGCACAGGGGCTGCTGCTCTGCCAGGCTCCCGGACAAGGTGAGGAGCCAGTGGCACTGCCAGACTGCAGCTCCCTGGCTCTCTGCCTGCCTGCTACTTCACACTGCGCCCGGGGGTCCCTGCAGCAGGTGCAAGCTTGGCGTGGCGTGCGGGCAGCTGTCAGGGGGATGGAGGGGAAGGTTTCAAACTCTGCCACCGGCTCCCCGGACTGCGCGCGCATTTCCTGGGCAAGCCTGCAGATGAAAGAGGCATGTCCCTCCCTCCCACTCTCCTGCAGCCCTGGGCCGCCTCCAGGAAGTGGGTGAGGCTGGGTTTGGTGCTGGTGGGTTGGCTCCTGGCCTTTTTAAAGAAAAATGTCTGAGGTAAGCTTGATGTACAATGGGGGTTCGTTATATATAGGAGTTCAGCTTTTTTCATTATGCTAAGATTCAAACGTCAGGGTGTGTATTATACATTGGTGCACATTATACTCAAGATTTTACGGTAATTAAACAGGATTTTACGTCCCTACCTGTAAGGGGTGCCAGTTAGCTACTAAAGGCAACTAGCATCTACTAGCCATGTATACTCCTATTATTGTATACTTGTACTGTGATAGCAACTACAAGTCCCCAGTCAGGGTCTCACTGTTGCATGTATAAAAACTAGCACAAAGACATGGCCCAACCCCAAAGAGCCCGTGCTGAGGAAATCTTTAAACCAGCATAAGTTCCTCCAATGCTCTAGTCAGCCCTCCACAGCTCTGGGGCCCTGCTCCTCCAATTGCTATTTCTTCAGTTTACCTAAAGGCGGGAGGATGATCCAGTCACTCAGATTCAATTCTCTGCTGCATCTCCAACTTCCTGTGTGACTGACACCCTGTATTCCATGTTCACCACTTTGACAAGGTTATGTTATATTCTGTACTAGTATGCCTTGGGAAGTATCATCTGAAAACTCAATTTGCTGAATATTCTTATTCTGTTGAAATATGCGCAACAAAACACGTCATGTAAAATTATGAGATTCTGCTATATGATTGTTACTGCAAACTAGGAAATAAATGGCCAAAAGATACATTCATGCAATATTAAGGTTTGGCATAGAAAGGGGTAATAGTGGATTGTAGACTTGTTTCATGCTCAAGTCTGCTATGGAGTCAAGTCCACCCAGGAGCAATCCAGATCACAAGCCTACTGCACAGTACAGCAGCACACAGGGTTCTTTACCTCAAAAGCAGCAGATATAATTTTGGCTTTCTTGCTCAGCACCGACCCCACAGCGTTGAAGTTCTTGTCTCGAATTTCAGCATACAGTTCCTCAGCAGAATTCAGCTGGAGTTTCTTTGGTTCTGTGGGGAGATCCTTGCCGCCCTCACCCTGCTTCTTAGGAGCAAACTTTTCAGGCGGGAGTTTCACATAGGCTACCAACACAGCAAGAAAATAAATGACAAATTAAGAGCTCAGATCTCAGTACTTAATCTGAACCACCACCAGAAGCTTTCCAAGAAAGAGGCAGTTCTAGCCTAGCATAAACATTCATCCTACAACTTGAAAGAGCTGTGGAGGGCTGACTAGAACATTGGAGGAACTTATGCTGGTTTAAAGATTTCCTCAGCACGGGCTCTTTGGGGCTGGGCCATGTCTTTGTGCTAGTTTTTATACATGCTTTTCTCTAATTTGAAAGGATAAAAATCCCCACCAGCTATACATAAAGGAAGAGTCCTATACACAGATCAATACAGCACCAGGAAGATCCTTCTGCTCACCTGCTGAAGGTGCTGAACAATAAAGAAAGCACTGTAAGCTTAAATTTACAGAGAACATCTGCTTCAGGGGCAGGTGGAAACAAACAGCATGTTGAGGGGACTTTTTATCTAAAATCCCTACTCTTATGAAAAGTGTCCTCAGACACTAATGTCTGTGTACAGCTGACATTTCCAGGACTCACGGAAAGCAAAGAGCCCTGTGCTAAATTCATCTTTCTGGGAAGGGTGAATAATATAATAATATATACCTATCTAATAGAACTGGAAGGGACCATAAAAGGTCATTGAGTCCAGTCCAGTCCCCTGCGCTCACAGTAGGACCAAGTACCATCCCTGACAGATTTGCCCCAGATCCCTAAATGACCCCCTCAAGGATTAGACTCTCAAACCTGGGTTTAGCAGGCCAATGCTCAAATTACTGAGCTATCCCTCTCCCCTAAGCAGAATGAAGCACTGAGTTGACCTTGTTAGGATTGAAAATAGCGTTTTTAGTTACACCAAGCAACTACGCAATCCCTCTGTAGGCTCAGAAGAGTTATTCACACTTTTATCCCAATATGCATGGAGCAGACTTCTAGTGGGCACACTGTAATTTATTCTAGCACTCAGGAATTTTATTCTATTCCATTAAAAACAGAGTTTTGCTGTACATAATTTGCAGCACTTACTATTTTGAATCCCATATATTTCATCAATAAGGCCTTCATATGTAAGCTGAGTAGCTAACGGTGACAACAGGTCTACATTGCGGTCAAGCAATAAGAGGGTATCAAAGACAGGAAATATTGAGTTCTGGCCTCCAGGGAATTCTCGCTTCATCCTGATCATCATGTTAGCCACATGCTGGAAATAAAATATTTGGTTCATTATAGCTCAGGCCACAAGAGATGGGTATAACAACTAGCTTTATGGACGTAGTAGAGGCAAGCTGTGTAACTGGTACAAGTGGAGAAAGGGCCTTTAAGAAACAAAATAAACTATTCTATAGTGAAGATTGCTAGTTTAGTCTGACAGAACAGTGACAGAACCACAGCTGTGCATTCAGTTCCAGATGCTTTCTTACCAAAAGAAGGACTTATGAACTGCAAAGATTTGAGAAAACAACAACAACAACAACAACAAAATCTGGTAAGGGACTGAAAGGGAGAGAGCAAAAGGGCATGACACAAATAACTTGACTATGTGATGAATAAAGATGAACATAAAGGTTGAACCTCTCTAGTCTGACACCCTCGGGACTTGACCAATTCTGAACTAGAGAATTTTCCAAACCACAGGAGGTCAATATGGTCTAGCAGCATTAGCAACATTTCCACTGCTTACTGGGCTCTAAGATGAAATTTAGGGGTAAATTAGAGCTAAATAATAGCACAGAACACTGAGAGCCAGGAGTGATGGATGTAAACAAATGTTATGGGATCATGGGAAACTTGGCCACATCCATGATAAGTGGACATCCACTTAATCATGCCAGTCTACAGATTTTGCTGGACCAGAATGTGCTGAACTAGAGAGTTTCAACCTGTACCTAAATGTTTCAGTTATAAGTAGATAATTCCCTTCTGTCTTTGGAGCTACTTAGTGTGGTAAAGAGAGTAGGAATATTAAAATGCATTTATTTAGATAAATGTGTAAACCCGCCCATCTGCCACCCCCGCAATGATGCTGCCTCTGATACAGCTCAGGCTCATTGATTAACTGTGTACACGTTTACACTTTCAGATCCCTAAAAAAAGACAGTCTAACCAGGAGAAAAAGGATGAAGTTAGGTCATCCATTTTTCTGTTGAACTGTCTCATGAGGCGGCATGCAAGCCCAACTGTGGGATATTTAAACTAAACTACACAAAGCACTAAAGTAGTACATACACCACAATCTTTGCATTGGTCAGGGGTCAAATAGGTCTTAACTCTAATTTCATAAATTCATAGACTAAGACCAGAAAGGAATATAGCGATAATCTAATCTGACCTTCAGCACATTGCAGGCCACAGAACCTCACCCACAAATTTCTGGGATCTCAATACCAGAGGGATTATAAAAAGTAAACAAACTGGCCAAACTACAGCAAAATAGAAATATATAATACCAGTCTCAGCAGACAGGTGACTTGGGGGAGAAAATATCTGGATTAGGAATGTTAAATATTGGTTAACTGAATAGTTGATTAACTTCATGAATTCTTATCTGTCAACTATTCTGTAGTCCAGCAGCCAAACATGCTCCAGAGGCAGCAGCATGCAGTGCAAGACTGTAGCTGGTCCACGAAGGGAAACAATTTAAAAACCAGCTTCCCTCATGGATTGGCTGCCTGTTGCTCCACGCTGCCGCCTGTGATACAGAAGCAATTGCATGGGGATGGCAGCAGCCCCTGCCAGTGAGGGATCTGAGCTCCTGCACTTGGTGCGAACTGGAACCAAGCAAGGCTGCCTGCCCATTTGGCTCCTAATAAGCTTTAAATGCAGAGCCACAGTGGGGGTAGGTCCCAGATCTGGCACAACCCAGGACTGAACTGGGCTGCTTGCTTGCCAGGTTCCTAATACCCTTTAAACACAGAGCTGCCATGAGAGGTAGGTCCCAGACTTGGTACAAGCTGAGACTGAGCCAGGCTACTGGGCAGCCTGCTTTAAAAAAACAAAAACTTACTTGCCTGGGCAGAGGGGGAGGTGCATGTAGTCTTCAGTTCATCAACTACACTATTACATCCCTAATCTGGATAGGTAAAAAGAATGGCAGGGAACACATTTATACAGATGTTCCTTTAGGGGAGCGACTCAGAAGTGGTCCTTAATTACAGTAATATGCTCTGTAAGAAACTGAATTATTTCAGCCAAAATGCAGCTTATGACCCAAAGCATCAATAAAGCCAACACACATTAATGCAGCTAAAAAACACAGATATTTTACCCGTGCACAATCTCCCTTCCCAAAGATCTGTGGAATGGTTCCATAGAGTGCCTGTAGGGTCATCAGCCCCTTGGCTGCATGGTACAGACTTGTTTGGTCATTCTCCAAGTAACACTCCTAAATGACAGGGAAAGAAAGGTTACAGAAATAGAGGATATGTAATTAGCGTACTCATCTTGTAAGTAGAACGTGGCTGAAGGGAATGGCTGAGGATACAGAGCCTTTCATGCACAAGTCACTAGTTCAAATCTGTCTCATGAGTCAGTGATAAAAAGTAGCAATGTAAGAGATTTACTGGTTACCCCGTAAATAGGCAAGCTTATTGGCCTGCTTTCAAGGTAACCACTTAACTGTCCCAGCCCCCGACTGGCCAGTGGTTAACCGTTAAACAATTTGTTTAACCAGTTAACTGCTGTACCCAGTATTTACATCTCTGATCCAAAGTCATTACTTGCTACTAGCTACTCAGGATACTAGCTGTTGACATCAGAGGTGCCCCAATGGACAAACATGCAGGTCACACACAAAAAAAACAAAAAAACGAATTGTTGGTAGAACTAGCTGTCAGATTAAGGGCTTACTATATGAAAAGTGAGTGCATGGCAAGTTGGGGTGTCAATCTACCCCACACTAACCTGCTGCACATCAACTGTCCACGAGAAACCTGCTGCCATGCACTAAAAGTTCCCTAGTGACCGCTGACCTATCCTACTTTCAAAGCCAGTGTGGGGTAGATTTATATCTGCCCTGCACCAACTGTTCATCTACAGAAGCTTCCAGATGATGTATGAGGAGTCAAGGGGCTATGGAGTAAGCTATCCTTTCTTGCTCTTTCTTGTGTGTCCCTATCCCCCCACCCATGCAGTACAGGCAGTCCCCGAGTTACGCGGATCTGACTTATGTCGGATCCGCAGTTACGAACAGGGTTTGCTCCGCGTCTCCCTGGTCTGCTGGTCTCCAGGGGGCAAGGTCATGCAGGGAAGAGGTAAGCAGCAGTAGGGAGAGCATCTGTGAGTGCAAGGGTAGGGGGCATTGTCACATTTCAGTCTCTTTTGAGTGCTGCCGTTTCTGTTCCTAGATACAGAAAGAGGGTGGGGGATAAGGGCTTCCGGAGCTACTTGTTCGTTTGTCACATTTGTGGAAGCTGCTGTCCTTCTTAATAGTGTGCTGGAGGATCTGCAGGTCAGTGTTCACCAGACAGGGAGGCAGGGGTCAAGCAGGGCCAGCTCTTAGCCACTCCTACAAGGAGATTAGGGCACAGCTTCTTGCATCCTTTCCCTGCCAGCAGTGCAGGGGGCCTGCCCTGACACCTCTGCCTGGCTGTGCTTGTTTGAGGAGAGGAGAGCCTTGCACAGATATCCATTGGAGTATCCACTGGATGCAGATGCAAATACAGGCAGTCCCCAAGTTACGCGGCTCCGACTTACGTCAGATCCGCAGTTACGAACGGGGCCCTCCCTCTCCCTGGTCTCCAGCAGACCAGGGAGAGGAAGCAAAACGGCGGAACACGCGGGCAGCAGACAGCCCAGACGCGTCTGGGCTGTCAGCTGGCCGCGTG